CCCTCCTCTCTGCTTCTCTGTCGGTTGGTGGCGGTATTTTCTCGGTCGGTGGCGGTATTTGCCACCTCCACGCAGAGGCGTATCTTCCCCGCTATCGCACGTTTTCCCCTCAGGCACGCACACACGCGCACACGCACGGCAAGAAAGCCATCACAGGAAAACACCAAGCAGCACAATAAGAGGGAGAGGGGAAAAAAACTAAAAAAACACATCACAAGGCACTGCAGGGGAAAACATTTTTTTCTCTTCCTCGTTCCGGATGCGTCTTGTTTCACTCATCGCCTGCTCTCGTTCCCACCACCCCTGCCATCCTGCTGCAGCGCCCACGAAGTCGTTACGCACCACTTACAGAACATGTAGTTATGGAACGCGGTGGGGCTAACATCGACCAGCGGTGCATTTGTGGAGCCGGAGGTGGACGGGAGCTGCGGCGGCGGCGGCGGCGATTTCACGGTGGCAGACGCAGCAAGTCCCTCTTGGTGAGGGGCGGCGACGACGGTCGTGGGATTCGCGATGCGCAAAGCGTTGCCCTTGGCAAGCGCCGTCGCCTGCGCCTCCCCCTCAGGGACAGCGAAGAAGGGAATTGTCTCCTCCGTTAGGAGCGGGGACACCAACTCCGCGGTCCTGCCGTCGAGGCGCATGTGCTTCATCAGGTGCACGCACCACAGGTCCGACGCCAGTCGACACTCGCGATGCAAGTTCCAGAAGGCCTGCATGAGTTCACCAATGAGCCTCTGATTCTCGCTGCCGGCGTCGAGGCTGGCGTCCCACGCGGGGTCGCAGTGGTGCGGGCGCCCTTCTTGCAGTGGACTGCGTTTACCCCCGCCACCGCCGCCGCCGCCCTTGCGGGAAGACACGCCCCCACCCGTCTCTGTCGCCGCTTCCTCGGCGTCGAGTGCCGCCTCAGCCCCGCACAGCTCCAATGCAACCCCCATGGCACCAAGGAAAAAGGGTGTTGTCTGAGGAGAGACCATAGAGCAGCCGTCGCCAGGGTAACTTTCCGTGCTGGCCGCAAAGCCGCCCGGGCTCCGCACTTCTCCCCGCAACGAGGTCCCGCTCATATCTTCTCTATTGCCGCTCCTACAACTACCACTACTACTGGTACTACTACCCTTGGAGCTGCCGCTGCTGCCCTGGTTGCTGCTAGCATTTCGTGAAAAGAGAAGTCTCGGGCGGTCCTTTTCTAGTCGAGTGGTCATTTCTAACGCATGTGGTTCAGTGGCAGATGCGTTGATAACAACAGAGCCTTCCATGTCTTGGGTGGGATCGGGAAAAGAGCCCCCCTGCACCGCCGCAGCACTTATGGCCGCGCGGGACAACCGTGCACACCATCCCTCCGCGTACTCTTGATATTCCAGCATGAGGTCGTGGAACGCCCGCCGGCAAGGGCGCCGAAGCGGAAAAACGCTGCTGCTGCTGCCGCCGCCGCCGGGTGGCGCCTGCTGCGAGGGAGGCCGATGTGGCGACGACGACAACGCGTTTCCGGGTTCCTCCAGCAAGACAGTGTGAAACCACTTGTCCTGCAGCAGCTCCTCCGCGCTGGGGCGTTGGGCCGGGTCCGCGCAGGCGCAGCGCTGCACAAAGGAGGCAAACCGCAGCGACCACGCGCCGCAGCGTAGCCGAGGCAGCGGGCGATGGTGTCGCTTCATCCACCAAGGACAACCGCCATCGGCCAAGTGAATGGCCAGCATCGCGAGCATCCAAATGTCGTGTGACGGCAACACCGGACAACGCGGATTCAGCGTGTTATTTGTTGTCCGAAATGGGGGCGCAGGGCCCGTCTCAGCCCCCTTCGCGGAGTCCAGTTGCGAGGAGGTACTCTGCGCCTCCACCGCAGCCCCGTCGCTTGCGACCCCCTCATTTGTAATGCACTCGGGCGGCGGAATGTACGTCCCCTCCTGCAGGGTAAAAAGATGCAGTGCATCCATCTCAGCCCCGACACTCTGTGACTTGGCATTCTCAAGGCCAACGGAAGTCTGAAACTCCTTAGCCAACTTGAGGGGGGCACACTTAGAAAACGCGTCTGGAGCGGACGCGGCCTCGTCGGCACTTTGTCTGAGCGCCGACACCAGTGTCTTCTCCACCTGCGCATAGTACCCGTCTGCGAGCACGACGTGCTTCGTCCACTCCAGCGAGTCAAGCAGGTCTGTGGACTCGCTGCAAACCCCTACTGCTCCTGCGGCGACTCCAACAGCAGCCTCATCCCCGCCATTCCCTCTGGCGCTGGGGCTACTGCTACTGCTACTGCTGCGACTAACGACCTCCACGTTGCCTTCTCGCGCCTCAGTCGTGTCCAGCAACATTTCCCGCCACAGCTCCGTGGCGCCCCCCACCACCGAAGAGACTGGTAGCGGATCCATGCGCCGTGTTGAAAGCGCATTCATCGCCTCCAACGCCTCCAGAACGTGGGAGGAGACAAAAATGTTACTTGCCTTTATACTTCCATGGGCTCCGCCGCCGCGGTGCAGAACGACAAGTCGCTGAAGAACGGCATGTATGATGTTCCGAATGGCAGTCTCACGACGAAGTTGCGAGGGCCGCGCCGCACAAATCCAGCTTTGAAAGACATCGTGTATGCAGCCCTGACGCACCAGTGGCATCGATAAGGCGATGGCGAACAACTTTGGCGCCTTCTCATCGTGGTCGATGAACATGCACGCGCGCGCGCTGATGCGACGGCCGCAATCTTCTGGCGTACTCCGATTCACGGGGGAGCTTCTTCGCCGTCGACCCCCAGCTCCGCCACGACCCGCCCGAGCGCATGTGCTTTTCCTCACATGCGTGGCCCCACGCGAGGCGGCGGTGGCTGTTCCGGACGGAGCGCATCGCCGAGGGGCCGCCGAACCCGCGGACGACCTCAGTAGGTTTGGGGCCCTGCTTTGCCTTCTTCTGACCCGCCGGAGCAGGCTTCGCCCTCGCAGGAAGCAAAGCCCCTCCACTCCGCCGTGGAAGAGCCGCTGCGGCCGCTGTCGTCCTCCTGCGTCGCTTCGCGGAAAGCGCCGACAAGGCGGGTGGCAGCTCCAGCCCTTCCGCGTTGTCGGGCCCCAATGGAACAACACTGACCCCCACGATGGGGAGCCGCCCATCAGCCGCATACGCGCGGTCCCGCCCGTCCAAGTCACCCACGTTTGCCGCGTCGGCTGGGAGAACGTTGTCGGACACCCTTTTCTGCCCATTAAACCTGCCCGACACACTCACCTGCAAAGAGCCTATAGGGCTGCTGGCAGCGGCCGAGGCCGACGTTAGAGCAGAACGCGCGGACGGGGGCGGGGTGGCGCTCGCCGCTACGTCCCCGTCCGTGTTCTCTGGCAGATGATCTGCGCTGTCGCCCGCCCCCATAAAATTCTCCCCGTTCATGTGCGAATGCTGCGGATAGATGGAGCCGGGATGAGCAAGCCAATTGTCTTTATCATCCGTTGCGGCGTCAGTCGTCAACTCCACGAAATCCTTGTCGACGGGGCACAGGAGAACCTTTTCCAGCTCTTGCTGCAACCGAAGAAAGAAGGAGGCGGGAAGCCACCAATCACTGCCCTCCCTGCCGTTCCCAGACTTCTCCTTACGACCCTCTTCCGCAGGAGAAGTGGATGCATTTGCCGCGGACGCGGCACTAGAAACTCTGCCAGCCCCTTCGCTACCGCCACCCTCCTCCACAGTGGCGTCAACGTTGTGCTCTGACACTAACCGTGAGTCGGTGAAAGCAACCGGCGCAGCAAGTTTCCACAACTTTTTTAGCAACGCCTTGTCCACCAAAAGAACACGCACGGCGCACATCACCTTGGCGTCTGCAGAGTGTCCACATACAATTTTGCTGCCACGGCGTTTATTACGCTCCACCCTGCTATCGACCAACGCACACGCCGCCGCCGTTTTCGTCTTCGGTGGCATCGCCCCAAGCGAGGGGGCCTGCCCCAGGCTCTCAAAGATGTTCTGGGGCAGCTGCGAGTTGTATGAGATGGCGAGATGCACCGGCGAGGACGTGGTGCCGTGCATAACCTCCGCGCGCCTAAGTGAGTCCATGCGGCTCTGTTGACGGCTATGCTGCTCGGCAGAGCGGCCCGCACTGAACCGCAGCGTTTTACTAAGCACTGCCTCCGAGTGCCCCCCGGACCTGCGCCGCACGCCGTTGAAGGGCTCGTCAAGCAGGTAGCACTGGAAGCCGCCAGCCAGCGCCACCTCCATCATGGAACCGCGCCACCGCGCCATGTCGGTTACGGAGTGCAACAAATCCGGCAGCGACGTTGTCGAGGGCGACGGCAGCAGCAAAGAAGGCGGAGCCCTCCGTCTGGGCTTCCGCTGCTTGGACTGCCTCCGCATGCCCTCTTCCCCCTTAAAAAAAAAAAAAAAAGGACCCGCTACGTGAAAGTGTTCGGCCCTGTCGCTCACGCACACACCCACACAAGCGGGAGAGAAGGTGTCCCCCTCCCACGCCGATCTCCACCGCTGCTCTCGTCGTGCGCCGGCAGGCCGCACAAACACCAAGACAAAAGGGCGGAGGGAGAGAGAGAGAAGAAGAAGAATGCGTGTGTGTGTGTGTGTGTGTGCACGCGCCCGCAGGGGCGGGAAAAGGGAAAAGAAAGAGGGCAGGGAGGTTGACGCCCCACGCAGAGTAGGAAGCGAGGGGCGCGGCCGACAACTGAGAGATGCGAGACATACAAAAACGACGACAACAACAAAGGCGAAAGGAGGACGGCAAAGAAAAGAAGAAAATGAACGTAGAAAGAAAAAAAAGCGCCTGACAATAAAGCAAAAACAAAAACAAAACAGTGAGGCGTATCGTTGCGTGTATGTGTGTGACCGTCTGTGAGGTTCCGCACTCGCACACGCGTGCGTGCAAGTAGAAAAAAAAAGAAAAGAAAAAAACAGTGTATATATACATGCATACGTGTACATGTGCGTATACAAATACATGTGTCTTTGCGTGCGAGAGGCGGGAAAACGCGGCCCTGTTCATTTGCGCCCCCCTCCCCCTCCCCTCACCTCGTGAGGTTCTCCCGCACACTTCAACGCGACGCGCCCTTCGCCCTCACGCGACCCCCCCCCTTCCTCGTCAAACGGAGGAGCACATCAGCGCCTCCCCAAACCAACGACACCAAAGAAGAAGAAGAAGAAAAAAACTTCCCCCCCCCCTATTCACCTCTCAATCAAATATACAGGCGAACAAGTGACAGCAACACACACACACACGCGCAAGCGCAAGTGGTGCTGCATCCCACAAAAAGGATGCATTGAACTCAGCACTTTCCTCCAGACGCACACGCACTAGTCAAAAAACATATACAAATGCACAGAAAGATATATATATATATACACACACACACAGACACGCACACATGCACATGCACGTGCACGGCGCCATAGACAAGCGCCTATGCCACTGACTAACCACACACTTTGCGTGCACAGCCCGGATCCACGAAATGCGGCAAGAGCAACCAAAGAAACAAAAAACAAATTCAAAAGAAAAGAACAACAAAAAAGAAAAGAAAAAGAACCTACCGTCAGTCTCCCGAAAACAGGAGGTAAAAAAAAATCAATATAGGGAAGAAGAAGAAAAAATTAAACTAATATGCACATAATACAATAGGAAATACATCTATTGGCACCTTCTGTCCTTTAGGCGCGCTCGCGGCAGAGTCGCTTTCACCGTCCACTCGTTTCTGTCTACTGGCGTCTGCCTCGTCTGATTCCGCACATGGCGTGATGGCTGAGGGGGCGGCGAAGCCCGCAGAGCGGCAAATACACGGCGTCGGGAATTGCCGCGGCAGCTGCCACCCCCGTCACTGCTCAAACATGACAGTCTTGAAGATGCGCTTGAACGGGTCGCCCTCCTCATCCGAGTCCTCCCCCTCCTCCGCCGTTTGTGGCGCGACCCTCGACGGCCGCTCAGCCGCATCGTCAGCGCCGTGAAGACTCGTCTGCATAGCGGAAATCTGCGCCAACAACGACGCGGCTGTTTGCGTCGACGGGGACGCGGGTGGCACCACCTGCGACGGCGACAGGGCGCGAGCCACAAGGCCCGCCTCCTTCTCTCGCATTGTCGTCGTCGTCGTCGTCGTCTTCGTCGTCCGTGCCGAGGCCGCATGCAGCTTCTTCCTATCCGATGTCTCCACCCGGATCCCAGCCCCCACCCCCGCGTGCTCGACTCCAGACCCCAGGAATTCGGGGGCGACGCTTGTCCGGCTGCTGCGGTATATGAAGTTGTCGTGGTTGGTAGAACGCCGCGACGCAGAGGAACCATCAACGGCAGCGGAAACATCTCGGGGCCGCCGCCCCGCGGGGCCCGCATACTGCTGCCGATGCAGATGGGGCGGCGGCGTATGCGGCTCCCCCCGCTTCGTGCAAGCCTCCACGGGGGCATTGCCGCCGCGTTGCAGCTCCTCCACAGACTCGGGCATAAGTGAAAGCTCCTCTGCAAATTGCGCGGCACGGCGAAGCCACGGGTGTGCCAGCGCTTCTGCCACCGTGCTCCGGACCTCCGGATCCGGCTCCAAGAGCGACTGCACAAACGAAATTGCCTCGGGGCTAATGTGTCTCCAGTGATCACTATTGCACTTGGGTGTGCAGCGTTGCTGCTGCTGAGCCATGCTCGCCCGCGAGGCCCCGTTAAAAGGGAAGCAACCGCTAAGAAGAACGTACGCAACAATTCCAATGGCGTACGCGTCGAGTTGGCGCGCCATACGCAGCGTTGTGGGTTTTCGCTTCCACCCGCAGTTGACGATCCAGCTCAGCATCTCCGGGGGGAGATACTTGTCGGTGCCACATGGCGTCAAGAACAGCAGCGTCTCGCCGTCGTCGGGGGGTTCGTCGCGCCACGAGCGGGAGTTTGACTCGCCCCGCTCGGTAAACACCGCTGAGGGGGAGGAGCTCGCCATCGGTGCGGCGGCGGGGGCGGTGGTGGTCGGAGGCGCGGCGGGCGCAGCAGGATGCGTGGAGCCACCACGGGAGCGTGCGAGGCACTGCGCCGCGGAACTAGACGCCATCCCTGCCTCCGCCGCGCCCTCCTGCTGGCAGTCGCTCAGCACTGCAGCGTTGAGGACCCCAACCCCGGCCTCCCCGCCAACGCCGCCAACAATGACGCGAGACACCGCCTCCGATGGGTCTGTCGAGGCCTCGTCTCCAAGCGCCGCGGCGGCATCCGCTCGTGCCGCACCGCAGCCGCCGGCGTCCGCGTTGCTGTCGGCGTCGTCGTCGTCCGAATTGACCTCAGTGTAGGTGGCGTTGTTCTCCTCCGCAGCGTCAGCGTCGGCGTCGGCGTCGCTCGAGGCGGTGGTCTCCGAGGGGGTCACGTCGGAGCTTGTCGCGACGGAGGCGCTTTCACTATCTACAGAGGCGAACATGTTGACCGCGGACGGCACAGGGGTGGGCATGCCAACGCGCGGACAGCGGATGCCGCCGCCGCCGCTGCTGCTGATTGTTGTTGTTGTTGTTGTTAGGCAGCGACTTCCGCGCGCTGCCCTCGCCAGCGGAACGCCCCCGGCACTTCTCCCCGCGCTTCGCCGTGCGCCGCGCCAGGCCAAAGTCAACGAGGGTCACCTTCAACAGTCGCTCCAGCGCCTCGGAGCTCTGCTCGGCCGAGATTGTGCCCCACACCGACGCCAAGCGGCGCCGCGGCGGTTTGGCGTCCTTCTTGTTTTCCTTGTACTCCATCGTCGCTATCGCCGCTGCCGCCTCCACGTCCGGCGCGATGTCCGCGGCTTCGCGCGTCCGAGTTGCGAGTGAGCTGCCAAGAACCTTCTGAATACAATCTTGCGAGGCGTCGATGCGGGAAAGCAGGAGATTCTCCAACTTAATGTCGCGGTGGATAAGGCCGTGCGTGCACTGCAGGTAGTTGACCGTCTTCACCAGCTGGTAAATGATGAGCGCCGCCCGGTTGTCGGACGGGGGCCCATTGAGTTGAAGGTAGCGTCTGGCATCCATGCACCCCCGCCCCATATTCATCACAATAACAAACTCATCCGGTGTACGCAGCGCCTCCACAAACTGCGTACACCCTGTGTGGCGCAGCGATCGCACGATGGATATCTCTCGCTCAATCTCCACCAGCTCACGGTGCATGGCGTCGTGGTACTCCACGCCACAGCAGTCACCGATGGGAACCTCCGCAGCCTGCTCATTCGGTTTAGAGCGGGCGGTGGTGACCGCTTGCTCAGCCCCCTGCATGGTGTCGTGCGTCGTTGCTACGCCATGCAGGGCCTTGCAGGGACTAGTGAGAGCGAAATTCTTCCACTTTCGCCGGGGAATGACTTTAATCGCAAAGAAACTCAGATTTGGAGTTCCTTGAAAGAGCGGCACCGCGCGGAAGACACGCGAAAATGCCCCATCGCCAACAAAGTCCGCCTCAGGGTTAAACACATACGAGTCCTGCAGGCAACTCACCTTTCGGCACAGGTGGCGGGAGGGCAGAACGGGCGGCAGCGCGACCCCGCCCTTATTATTCGGCAACCTCGCAGTCCCTGCTTCACGGCGCCTGCTTGAGGTGTTGCCCCTGTTGCCGCTGCGACCGGTGCCAAAGTCCAAGGCAGGCGGCGGCAGCGGCGGAGATGACGCCGCCCGTCGTCGCGGACGCCTCTTACGCGCCGCAAACTCGCACGTGGCGTCCGGACCGCCAGGCCGCATCTGGGGGCCGTAGAAGACGCGTTCCATCGGCAGCAGCCGGGCAAGCCACACCGCCCCCTCCACCTCACGCAACGCCATCTGCACCACGTCGCGTCGCTCGGCGGTGGCCTCGCCGCGCAAAAAGAGAAGCAGCGGAGGGTGGCGCAGCGCCACGACCTCGCGCGGCGGCATCAGCGTCAAGAGCCGTTCGCGACGGTGCGCCAAGCCGCCGTGCGGCGAGGCGGAGCATGAGCGCGGCCGCCGTGCCGCTTTAGCCGCAGGCGGCTCGGCGCCGCACCGTCGCGCGTCTTGTGCGGCGGGGCCCGTCGCCGCCTCCTGCCGCGCACGCCACCAGCGCAGGCGGTCCACCACGACGTCGTCCACCGAGTGCAGCGTGCGCAGCCCGGGGAGCATCGCAACGCACCCCCCGGCGGGAGCCGCCAGCCAAAAATGTCCTTCCGCAGACGCCCAACAACCGCCGCTGTCGCGCTCGAGGGGTAACTTCTACCTCGTTGCCTTCGGCGTGCCACGAGCCCCCGGAGACGGTGTCGCACCCGCAAGAGGGAGAAGCTACACACACAGACAATAAAAAAAAGATCTTCCAAAGAATCCAAAGTCGCGGAGAAATGCAGCGAGGATGCAGGGAGACAGAAACCAACAGCAAAAAAAACAAACAAACACGCACACACATTTATATACATATATATAAAAGAAAAACGCACGCCAACGGAAAGAAGGGCCGAAAGAAGAAGGGGCATGACCAAAGGAACACCGACACCGCCGCCGCCACATCTTTCTTCCTCCCTCTGCACGTGCCGCCTCTCTCTTCCCGCGGGCGATCGTGCCTGCAGTCTGCCCCGTGCAACCAGATACCCCTTGTACCCACCCTCGCGCCTCACATCAAGAAAGACGACTCAGGTGCCCAAACCCCACGCTCCTCTTCTCTCCCCAGAAAAAAAAACACGGGCCTTGCAGCAGAAGTAATAACTGCAGACATAAAGATCAAAAAAAAAAAAGATGCGCCTCTCACTCTCCTCTCTCTCCCGCTGCATCCCGCGCTATTAACACCCTCGCCCCGCTGTTGCTGCTCCCCCCTCCCCCGTCTCCCTCCCATTCCACGTTTTTCAAACCTGTTTCAAAACTTTTTTTTCCGCGGCCTAATCCTGCGCGTGTGCGCTCGCCGATGCCAGCAGTAGTTCCCAGAAGCACCATCACTCGGAAAAAAGAACAAAAAGCAAGTAAAAAGCAAAAGGCTCCAACAACGACATGGAAGTAAAGCAAAAGCAAAAAGATACAGATTGCCGTACCGTCAGGCACGCATGCAGTGACGACACACACCGAGAGAGAAACCCTCCTCGGCAGCCACCTTGAGCGATGCTGCCGCTATTTTGTGTCGCACCGGCCTTCTTCCTGGGGTCCGCTCCCTGCACGCGTGCGCGGGTGGCCCTTGAAAAAGCATGATACTTCGTGGGGAAGGGGCGGGGAGCTCCGGTGCGTGGATCGCTGCACCGCTCCGCCTCCACCCCCGCCCCTTCCTCCTGCGCTCACTCGCTTCGGTCTCACTCACTCACCTGTCTACCACCCACGACTCCTCACCGGTCCGTGTTTTTTAACCGCAACTATTAGTGTTATTATTATTGTTACTCGCTAATAAATTATTTAGTTCGCATTTGCTCGGTTGTGATGTTATTTTTGTTTTATTTTTTTTCTCTCTCTCTTTTCCTTCAAACCCCTGAGGAGACGCGTCCCAGCAGGGCCATCGCTCCTCGTCCTAAGAACCCCGGTTGTGCTGCATTGGGAAATATATTTACACACTATACACAGACATACATACACAGATACACACACGCATACATACATACTATATATATATGTCCCTCTCTATCTCTCTATCAGTCTGTGTGTATGCGGGTAACACCTTCGCCGCCCCCGTTTTTTGGACGCCTGTCAAAACGCTCACGCCCCTCCTTCCCTGTCTGTGTGTACGTTGTCCGGTCCATTTCCTCGTCCGGAGAAAACAAAAAATGCACTCACAGACGTTTTCATCCCCTCTCCATCTCTAGCCTTTTCCTTGTTGTCTGCGGTACTGCTTCCAGAGACCGGCAAAGGCGTCATTCACTCAACTTCTCCACAAGCTGAATTTCACCATCGGCGCTCACCAGCACGCACCCCGCACCGTTGCCGTGCCCAAGGTAGTTGGAGCTGCTAAAGATGGTCAGCACCTTACTGCTTTTACTAAGGCGCAGTCCATGCGCCTTCTCTTGGTGGGCGCGAAACAGCATGCTATACTGGTGGGCCTGCAAGAAGGTGTCCACCGCCTTGGCAGAGAAGGTCAGCACATTACTACCACGCCTGTTCACGCCAAAGCCCCACTCGTTGAGACATGCGTGGCCGCCCCCGGATGCGACACCCGCAGTGGAGTCGGCATCGTCGTCCTTGTCGCCGGGGTCGGTGCTTGTCGGGTCGGACCACATAAGGTCAAACGCGACGTACCACGCCTTACGCAGCGCCGCCTCGCTGATGGCGGGCGCTGCGGAGGAGGCCTGCGAGACGCCTGCCTGCCCCGCCGCCTCCAGCAGCTCCAGCTGGGCCTCAGGGTCCTCCCGCACTAAGGGATTGTTTGGGAACAAGGTCAGCATGCGCGGGAAGTCCTCACGCCGCAGAAACGCAATGCTGTCATCCTCCTTGGGCGGGCAAAAAAAGCGCGGGATACCGCCGTGTGTGCACAATATGCGCTCTTCATGCGTTCTGCGTCGACCCAGCGGCGCCGGTGATCGTGACGTGGGGAACATCGCCACATCACCTGGAGTACCCGCGTTGTTGTTTTTGTTATTAGTGGTGGAAGTATTAGTATTAACATTATTACTGCTATTGCTGTTGCCGCCAATGTTCGGCACGGAGGGAATGAGGAGATCTGCCGCAAGTGGAAAGTGGCGAAACAGGGCTGTCGTCTCCCTGAACAGCTGCTGCCCCTCCTCACGGCCGTACAACGCCTCGCACTGCGCCAGGAAGGAGGTGGAGCCATACGTCAAGACGTCGCCGCACACCACCCGGTCCTCGTGGTTGCCGCGCAGCATCACCACCTTCGACGGGTGACTGATCTTCAGCGAGAGCAGCAGCATGAGACACTCGAGCGAGTACGGCCCGCGGTCCACGTAGTCGCCGAGGCAAAGAATATTGGCGGGGGTGAGCTGCAGGTCGTGAAAGATCAGCACATGACGGAAGAAAAAGGCCAAGTCCTCAAAATTGCCGTGGATGTCACCAAAGACAAAGGTGGGTGCCACCAAACGTGGGAATAGCGGGTCCGCCTCGAAAAGAGGCCGCGCCTGCGCCAAGATCTCTCTACAGAGCGCCAGGAACTCCCGCTTGGACTCCTCCGTCTGGTAGAAGAGGAAAGACCCATTCACGTAGCTGCGCAGGAGTTGCTGGTGTGGCAGCTCCTTCATGCGTATGGCACGTGGTGGTCGTACTGGTACTGCCTGCATCCGGCGCTCCACCGTCTCCGCGGCCGCAGCGGACGACGCAGGAAGCGGCGCAAGCGCCATATCCGCCTCCTGCCACTTCATCACCGCGAAGGTCTTGGGCGTCGCCACACCATCCAGTGTAAAGGTGATCATCGGCGACTTCGCCATCAACCCCTCCTCCCCACTCGTCACTGGCTCCTCCTCGTTTTCTGGCGCTGCCACCACAATTGCATTTGAGCATTGCTGCACGCACAAAGGTGCAGCTACGGGTCCCAGGCACGGTGTATCGGCCTCTGCCGGCTCCGCGGCACGCGACCTAAGCAAGTCCTTAAAGCTTTTCCGGTACGTCAACCCGTCGCTCCCCACGCAACGGACACTAGGGTTCAGGTAGAGCGCACTGCGGTACGGCCCAGCGGGGGTTTTTACCTGGTTTCCCACTTCGCAGCGCTGCCTCACGTCCTGTCTCTCGCGCTGGCTATGACTCCGCATCCGCCGCCGACGCTGCTGCTGCCGCCACCACCACCACTGTCGTCGCTGCCTCCTACCGTCGCTGCGCCGTAGCTCAATCTCAGCGGGGGTCTTCGCTGAGGCCGTCCCTGCGGCAGTACCGACGTACTCACTCTCGCAGGCAAAACTCTGGCTGTCTTGCGCCGCCGCCTCAGCAGCAAGAGAGCCTTGCTCCGGCCCGGTGACGTTGTCCTTGGCGGGTTTGACCTCGTCGCTGACGGCTACCACCAGCCGAGATTCTTCCTCTGCGCCCTCCAGCGCAGTCACAGGCGGCGGGCGTGGTCGTTGTGGAGACGATGCCTTTGGCTCCTGCTGCCGCACGCCAGGCAGGTTAGCCGTTGCAGACGGGACTGCCCCACCCCCGCCACGGCGCAGCCCGCTGCCTCTACGTTTGCCACCGCCGCCATGACTATGACGAAGGGTGCCGCTGCCGCTTTTCCCGCCGTTGCTGCTGCCGCCAGTTGCCCCGCCAGCGTTTGCCTCGGCCGCAGACGCGTCGCCACCACTCCGCGCGGGGGCTGGCTCCATGAACGACTTGCACGGTACGAGAGACAAGCAGCAGCAAACTATGAAGCTGTGATGCCGGTGCACAGAAAAAAAAGGCCGAAGGAAAGCAAAAAAAAA